CTTTTGAGTGATTTGCAGAAAAGAAACATTGTGATTTTCCTGTGGGACTGCAGTTTGCCTTGGAAGAGAGGAAAATCCCACTTTGGGAAACATTGTTCTAAATAAAATCAGTACTCAAAGCATGGCCTCACCTGATAATTTTGGCACACAGGAAGAGGCTGTGTGGAAGGAAACATTCCATGAGATACAGCAGGTGGCATTCGACTAAGTTTTACTCAAAGAAGATCAATTAAAATCAATGGACACAACTTTGTCATGTTTATTAATGTCAGTGGATCTACCCTGAGTAAAACTTAGTTGAATTCCACGCAATGAGCCCAAACTATTTAGTGGTTTAAGGCTGCAATCATAGGTATACTTTTCCTGGGAATAAACTGAACATAGTAGGGTCTACTTCTCAATAAACAGGCATAGATTTGTCCAAACCAGCCCCTTAAATTGTGCCTGGAAGCTGATTAGCATCCACTACACTAGTTCTTTAAAGACCCAGGTGTAACATTTTTTCCTGCTTCTTTATTTATTTTAAAGCATTCTTATCTTGCTCTTCAACCAAGAAGGTTCCTAGAGCCACTTACAAATGTCATTGATAAGACAGCTTCTGTCCTCAGGTTAATGATCTAAAAGACAGGACACAAAAAGAAGAGGGATGATTTGTGAAGTAGGAGGAGAAAAGCAAACTCTGGCACTATTTCTTAGCTGGAGAGGAAGCAGCCAAACACTGGTTTTTAAGTAGAGTGGATGGAGAGGCTCTGCAGTCCTGTCTCTGCCATTCCCTCTCCTGAGTCAGATGGAATCAGTTTAATTCAGTTAACAAGCAGGCTGCCACATTATATTCCAGCTTTAGGTTACGAACAGTCTTTTCAAGCAGCCCTATGTAGAGCACATTACAACTGACTTGTAAAGTTGTTTATAATAGTGGCCAGGCCATCCTTCTCTTATAGTGCAGTCCTAACAGTGCAGGTCTAACCACATTTACTCAAAAGTAAGCCATATGGAATTCAGTGGGGCTTCCTCCCAGATAGGGTTAGGGGATTGCAACACTAATCCCCAGACTAACCATTTAGCCCATCAAAAGTAGCTGAGCTTTGTACCTCAGTGACATTGCTTGAAACTTTTTTCAGGCTCTTTACAGTATATCAAAACTTAATCTCACTTTGATAGATGAGACTTTCCTTTCTACCATAGTGTGCCACGACCTATTAAAGTACTTAGAAAAATAGGCAAGTGCAGTCAAACAGTGTCTTGCAGATAAATTCACTTTTGTATGTGTTCCAGAATAGGGATTGATGAGTCAGTCTGTTTCCAGCCAGTGTCGATCATTTGCTCACTTATAAGTCTGATCCCATCCCATTTCCTCATTAATTTACCATTTTTTTTAAAAAAGCCTAGGGCTTGCTGATCAGAAGGTCAGCGGTTCAAATCCCCATGACAGGGTGAGCTCTCGTTGCTCGGTCCCTGCTCCTGCCAACCTAGCAGTTTGAAAGCACGTCAAAGTGCAAGTAGATAAATAGGTACCACTCTGGCGGGAAGGTAAACAGCGTTTCCGTGAGCTGCTCTGGTTCACCAGAAGCGGCTCATTCATGCTGGCCACATGACCCGAAAGTTGTCTGTGGACAAACGCCAGCTCCCTCGGCCAGTAAAGCGAGATGAGCGCCGCAACCCCAGAGTCGTCCGCGACTGGACTTAATGGTCCGGGGTCCCTTTACCTTTACATATTTTAAAGTTATGTGTGTTGTAATTTTTTAAGCAAATAACTTAATTTGGGACATTTGGCAAGTGTGAAAGGTGATGAATTCCTAAGCTCATGGATGGAGGCCAGTTTGCTCTAGAATTTCAGAATATGAAATTCTTCAAGCATCTCTATTCAATAACAGACTTTTGGGTGTGATTTATTACATATTCTTTTCCCTTCCTTGCTGTTGCCTCTTCTGTGTTTTTCTAATATACATATGTTTGGACCTCTGACCCCAACCCTGAACTTGGTTTTATAAAGAACTCTTGGAGAATGGGTTATTACCAATTTGAATGGTTAGTCCCCCATATAGAGGGTAATATTTTGTCTATTGTAAACATATTTTATCTTATAGAAATGCTGACCTTTTATATGTATATTTTTCACTTCTGTACATTTTGATGCGTGTATCATATAAATTGAAACATTAAAATCACGAGAGAAAAGTGGAATTTTATGCTACTGGATATTGCTTGGAATTGAGATAACTAGTGGCCATTTTAACACATGAGTGGTGAGGTGCTAGTATTTGATCACAAACACACTTCTACTCATGTAGAAAGAGATGTTTTCATATGCCTATCATAGTGCTGCAGAATATATTACAGCTCCTCACCTGTAAGTCCCAATTGTAGTTCACTCAAGTCGATAGGAAAGTGCAGCCAAGCAAACCCTGAGAAGCTTTTGCTTTACTCTTTCTTATCTCTTGTTACATGGAATAGTTAGAGGCGATATGTTGCTTCTCCCCCTTTCTTCAGACCTCTCCCTCTTGCCTTGCAAGTCTGTGGTATGTTAACTCCTCTTTCTCCCTTGTGTTGCTTAGTAGCCAACAATTTCTTCTGCGTCAGGTAATAATTATTATAGCCCTCCCAAGGTGACTGTGATTCCTAAAAATGCTGTCTGCATCTCAAAGAGCTTCATTATAGGGTTTGGATGCTTAATGCTGATAAAGTGTGTGTGTGTGTGTGTGTGTGTGTGTGTGTGTGTGTGTGTGTGTTCCCTTTCTCACTGTGTCCTTTGCCCACCCTATAAACTGCTGCTCCTCTTCTCCCCCCACCCCAGCCTTGGTGCCTGATTCCATTCTGTTGTTCCTGACCTCATTTGGAATATTGCATATCTCTGGATGGCAATCCTGTGCCTGATAAGAGATGAGGGATGGAGTGTGAGACTGAATGTACATGTGAGAAGACCGAGAGCAGGAGTGAATGCTGTTTTGATCCATCTCTCTGCAAGTGAATTGATTGCAAAAAGAAAAGAAGAAAATTTAATGCACCATCAAGGCAGACGTGGAGTTATTTGAATTTGGGGAGGGGGATGGAGGAGAGATTGCCCAGACTTAATCCAAAGGTGAATGGGGTCTCAGGGCTGCACTCTCTTCTCATAAAATATTAATGGAAACAAGAAGGTGTTGTGAGAGGTTTTCTACCTGCTGCCGAGCAGCTGAAGGGGAAAAAGAAAGAGATTCATTCAAAGACTGCAGGGAGCTGCTGCTGCTACCGCCGCTGCAACAGAACCTCCTAAAGCCGTTCAGCTGAAAAAAGCCAGCAGGTGTCTTATGCACATAAATTGGTCTAATTTGGGTTTGTTTTTCTTGTCCTCTTGTCATCCTTCACCTCCTTGCACCCCCTTGTCTTCTGCCCTCTTTGCCTCTCCTGTGTTTTTGTGTTCTGCTATACTTGATGTTTAGGCATCTGCACCACTTTTGCTTGTGCTGGAGCATGAGAAGAGAAATTGTGTGCTAGTGGTTACTGCTTTGTACAAATTTGACTGAATGCAGGTTTTGCAGTTAATGATATCTTGGAATAATCCTGTTTGCAGAGATGAGGATGCAGGAAACAGAAATAGTGATAGTTGCCTCTAAAAATTTCTGATATACCAGTGAAAGCACAGCATAGAATAGTACAGCATTGAAATTTTCAAACATATCATAGGCTTTCACCCCCTTTCTCTTTTCATTCCTCCTTTGGAAGCAGCTGGCAAAAAAAATACTGTTGATACTGGATGCTGTGTTTGAAACATGGAAATCCAACTAATGGAATTAATAAAACAGAATAAAAACAGATGCAGAAAAAGAATTTGTTTGCAGGGAAATTATGTGACAGGCTTGCAGTATTGACTGATCCTTTATTGTGTGTGGTTGCTTTGGGCAGAAAAATAGCAGTTAACATTTAATTTTTAATATGGCACCCACAGCAGAAGGTTGGAAAAGAATACAAAACAGTTTGTTAATTTGATGTTCCTGTTCATTTACTCTTGTCCTTTTTGTCTAAAAGGTAATTAAATGTGTTGCTATCATGTATTTTCTTGCTTCTTGTATCCAGCTGTGCTGCTTCTCAACTGAACTTTAATACCTACATGCTCATTAGGGTTCAAATGAGTTTATGAAGACACATCAACCTCCCATCAATGCCTCTTTCTGCTATCCCCTCTATGGTAGCAGTTTGATCAAGGGAGTTAGAGATCTGATAAGCATGAGTGTAGCTGACTAGCTGAGGATTTTAAGAGGGACAATTGCATTCTGCTATGCAGAATTGCTCATTGGTGGATGCTGGTTGTATTTTCTAGTGCTGAAACAGAGTGCTGGGGTGCAGATAACTGTAAATAATTTCTAAATTAATTGAGACCTAATTAATAATAAAGATTTATCATGATAGAGTAGGAAAGGGGCTGCTATGTGAGAGGGACATTGGTGCTGCTGGCTCTAAAGCACAACAGTGTACAGGAGGAGTCCAAAGATCTTGTTATTAGTACAGTATATGTGTAGTACTTGGGTCACTAGGGTTAGAAGTATTTGACTACAAACAGCCCAGTTGTTCAGGACATGTAATGATTTTTTAGCTTTCTAATATTAAAGGTTTCTTTCTCTGTACCATGATGAAAAGTGATTGAGACTTAATATACCTCCCCCTTAATTAAATGCGTCTTTAAAGGCCAAATGCTCTCCATTTCTGATGTAGAGGCATGTCTTTTTGAAAACCTTACACAGTAGGAACTGTGAAATATAACCACTCCGTACTAAAGGATTCCCCTTTCCCCAGATGGGATTATTTTTCTTCTTAATTCAGTTCTACAGTAAATGCGTGTGTGTGTGTGTGTGTGTGTGCGCGCGCACACACACACACACACACACACGGAAGCACTGCTTTCATGAGTGTGTACTTAATTCCTATATGCTGTGTGTTGCTTTTGTATGAAAAATATAAGTGCATGAAAAATCATGGTCTGCCCTTCCTAAACTCCTTGCTTTCTGTTTCTCTAACTCTCCTAGCACACCTGCTCAGCACAGCAAGCACTGTCGACAAATCCTGAGAAATGCAAACACACTGGCTCTAGCATATGAACCTGTGTGTAGATTCAGGCACACGTATGCAGATGGTAGAAGGTCACACTGCGCTGGTGCCATGTCGTCTTTTGGAAAGCTTACAGAGTACTTCAGCCTAAGGAAGTCGAGGAATGAATTTCGATCAGATCGGCGGAGTAGCAGGAGGAGTGGCAGCTATTGCTGTAGTATCACCGAATGCAGGTAGTGGGCAAAAATTTTTAAAAATATAATTCTTTAGCATGCGTATATACCAGGGTAACTGGGATAGGGGGAAAGTGAACTGCTCCCACTTTCTGTGATAAGTCTTCAGTTAAAACGGGAATTCTGAAAAACAGGAGTACACCTAAGCACTGAGGTCTCCCCATTCCTATAGTAAAGTATCTGATTACAAGCACACCCACCAATATATTCAACTTTCCTTAGTATTATATATAGTTATCTTCACAACTAGTACCAGTGGTTGTACTTCAGTTCTAAGTACATTTCCACCCCAACATTTCAAGGAGGATTACTTTCCTATTTGTTCTAGTGAGCCCAGTGATGCTGTGTCTTTTTGAAAAACAGATCCATTATCATGGCTGGCCCTACCATTGGAGAAAGTGAGGTCTACCTTAGGCAGATGCTAGGGGGCAGCAGCTCCCACCAAGCTGGTACCCATAAGCTCTCCAAGCATTCTCTTCTGCTGGAGAACAGAACTATGCATAGTTCATGACCTCTCCTGTACTCCCCTTCCCTCCAAAAACGTAGCCTGCTGTCTTAGGTGCAGTGGCAGATGGTTTCCTGTCACCAATGTTGAAGCAGGATTCAGCTGCCAGTGTGGTCAGCTTCTGTACATTATATGGAGAAAGGAGCCTGAGTATTACAAAACACTGAGTAATCATTTCTTACCTGAAAAAGGTTTCTGTTAAACACTCATCCTATTTTATTTGTGTGGTGTCTTTTATTTTTACTAGATTATTGTGCACATATTTCCAATTAAGCTTATCAATAGGAGGAGGAGGAGATTGGGGTCCATCAGACTTAAAGCTACGGAGGGAAAGGGCAGGTTATTACTGTTGACCTTAGTGAAATCACTATCATTTTGCACTGCTCCATGCACTGGAATCTAACATGTAAAACTAGTAAAAAACCAAATCGTAGATTGAATTCTCATGAATGTAAACAGTGATTATATTATTACAGTTATTCATGAGTGTTTGCTTTAATGTCTTTCTGTCTGTTTCACATGTAGAGACACTCATTCTTTTTCTCTCTAAGAACAGGGAGTACTTGATATTTTCTTTTTTGCCAGGAGGATTGGGGTGAGTGAAGTCATGATGGGGCGTTCTGGAGTACCTTTGCCATTAAGACAAAGCATTGGTTTTACTCCTGTAACAAGACTATAGATATGTATTTGTTAGAAGACTAAATCTATATTCCATAGCTGAACTCTTTTCTTTGGATGTTATTAACAAACTCTTTGGAGGTTATTAATGTTGGTACTAAACCTTGTAAATACCTGATCTAATCACCAGATTGAGTGCGTGAGGTGGTTGAATGGTTGTTCCATTGATATTACTGGTACCATTTTGAAGTTCAGATGAAATACTGAGTGGCCGCTGGGACCATATAACACCAGTCCTAAAAGACCCACATTGGCTCCCAGTATGTTTCTGAGCACAAGTATGATTGTTGATGCTGACCTTTAAAGCCCTAAATGACTTTGGCTCCACCCCCATTGTTCAGCCCAGACACTGAGATACGGCTCAGAGGGCCTTCTGGTGGTTCCCTCATTGCGAGAAGTGAGGTTACAGGGAACCAGGCAGAGGGCCTTCTCGGTAGTTGCACCTGCTCTGTAGAATGCCCTCCCATCAGATGTTAAGGAAATAAACTATCTGACTTTTAGAAATAAATTAAAAAATTGTCCAGTAGCACCTTAGAGACCAACTAAGCTTGTTCTGGGTATAAGCTTTCATGTGCATGCGTGACTTTTAGAAGACATCTGAAGGGATGTTCAGGGAGGTTTTTAATGTTTGAGGTTTTATTGCATTTTTGATATTTTGTTGGGAGCTGCCCATCCTAAAGGGATCAAGAGCTACCTGAGGTCTATAGACTTTGTGCCCTCCACCCCACTGTTTCATGCCCCTATATGGCTCTCAGATCTTTGGGGGAGGCTTTTACTTCAGTTCCACCACCATGGGAAGGGGCCTTCTAGGTGGCTGCTCGCTTCTCTTGGATCAGCCTATATTTTGTTACCATTAAACAGAATATTTGTTGTGTATGCTAATCTTGGCATGCAATATCACAGATTATTTAAAAGTCAAAGTAGCACTTTTCAGCAAGATACATTGGTCATAAGCTTCCAAGGATGATGAAATTCAGAGCTGGTCTGTAGGATCACCGAATGTTAAGGAATGTCGGACAGTTTATACATACTGTTGCACATATTGTTGCAGTTTTTCTCCTGATTTTTTTTGTTATCTTAGTTTGTTGAATTTTTTCCAGCTTGTATGTGTAGGAATGTTTTTCCAGCTTGCATGTGTAGGAATGTTGAGCACCCACAATAGCCATTACAGAACATGGCAGCTATTGCTGTATCTCAGCTCCAAAATAGAAACTGGAGTGTTACTGTTACTTATCTGTGTAACCATTACATGCCCTACTGTAGATACTTGTGTTTCAGTGTTTATCTATACCATCTATTTTAAGATTTAATTGGTAACCCAGGAGAAATAAATCTGTGCCATAGAATTGCTCACACAGATGCTGTAGTGCATAGTTTGTGTGCTGCTGGATTACGTTTATTTTGATATAGAGAGAGTAGCTATAGATATTAATAGGTTTCTTTTAATGAGCTTTTCCTTGCCTCTCAATCTTCAGAGACTCAGTAGTGATTGTGAATCACACTGGTAGATGGCATTTTGGATCATCTCAAGATGGTTGGAGACAGACTGAAGCCTTTTAACACTGTGCTTTTTCTTTATAGCTAATTTATTTATTACAGTATGCTTAACAATATACAAGCCCAGTGTTGCAATTTTAAAATCCAAAAAGTTGGTCGACTTCAGTGAGCTTTCATGTGTTTCAGGTATTTTTTTTCTTCCTGCCACAACATAATCCACCCCTACAAAAGCTCTTGGGGTCGTCTTCCTAGTTAGCTTCTGTCCATTAAAGCAGAGAAAAACTTGTCACAGGCACAACTTCCATCTTCTTTGATGTAGACCACTGTTTCTCTTCTTCTCATGGGCTTCCATAACCTTCACTGGTGTTTTTTTTAATTACAGCTTGGGATACAAAATTAACATGATTACTCAAGGGACCTGAAGTTCTAGTACTTTGCAAGGATATAGTTTGCTAAATATTTATGTATTTCATCACAGTTTATTTTTGAATTGGAGTACATGATTCAAACAAGAAATCATTCATCAACCTTTGGTCTCTCATCTTTGACAGTGTGTGCACTGATCCCGCTATTCTTTTGTAACCTATAATATATATTTTTTTCCCTGATGGGCCACCAAACAAAATACGTCCTATTTTAACAAGAGAGTGATTGTGTCAAGGGAGGAAATGACATTTAGCTTTGGTTGCTTGATTGAGCTGCTTAGGCTTTGCATATTAAACCACAAGAAGCTTTAACTCTGCTCTTTGATGGAGGCTTTTCCTCATGGTTTGTTGTCTCATGTTTTTTGCATCACTCAATTGCAGTCTTGAAGATGCGAATCATGGGATGGGATAAAAATGATGTGGCTGAAATGCACATGCTCTTTCAAATGTGCTTATTCTGATTTACCTTGTTTTAGGTAATAATTTTGGGGGTGGAGAAACACAGGTAGGGCAAAGGGTAGAGTGGTGTTACCAAAGTAATACTTGTGAACTGCCCTGAGACCTGTGGCTATAACGTGTTACATAAATAAAATAATGATGATGATAATAATGAGGATAATAATAATAAAAGTAATAATAATAAAGAAAAGGCTTCTGTTGTGGCCATCACTTATCACATTCATCCTGGCTGAAATAAAATTGACTTTGCAGAATCTTTTTTAAGCTGTGCCTCTCAGCAATACTGCTTTAACGGGAGACAAGTCATAATTATACCCATAGATACATGCCACCAGCAGTTCATGAATGATGCAAAAGTCTTTGCTCCCCCCCGCCTGCCTTCAAAAGCCGTCCGACACAGTGGAGAAACGCGCTGCGTTACTCCGCTCTCCCGGGAAGGCAGGCAGGGGGAACAAAGACTTTTGCCCCCCCGTCGGCCTTCAGAAGGTGTTCCCGCCCCGCCGCCCGGCTTCGGAGGAGCCTTCCAAAGCCGGGCGGCGGCGGGAGGCGTTCCTGCCCCGCCGCCCGGCTTCGGAGCATCGTTCCGAAGCCGGGCGGCGGGGGGAGGCGTTCCCTCCCCGCCGCCCGGCTACGGAGCATCGTTCGTAAGCCCGGCGGCGGCGGGAGGAGGCGTTCCCGCCCCGCCGCCAGGCTTCGGAGCATCGTTCCGAAGCCGGGCGGCGGGGGGAGGTGTTCCCGCCCCACCGCCCGGCTTCGGAGGAGCCTTCCGAAGCCCGGCGGCGGCGGGAGGAGGTGATTTTGAGAGAAGGGAGGGAAAGGGGTGGAGCTCTTCCTGCTCCAAAAAACTCCATGAAATTTATTGGTGTCTTTTGTTCCCCACTTCAGAGAGCACTTTTTAGGAATTGCCTAAGAATGTGGGTACCGTTAGAAGCTACACAGTACGATGTATTAAACATTGTGACATTGTATGTAGTACTACTCATCTTAATTGTAAATTATTTTGCAGTATTGCAAAGGAGGTGTGCATTTCCTGCAATGTTGTTTCCCCATATCTGAAGAGCAAACTAGATGTGATGACTTCCATGTTTGCTTTTTGTTTACTAAACAGCAATTACAGGATGGAGGTAGATTTGGGATCAGACCTGTGCTGCTGCTTGACCACAGGGGGAAGGCCTCTATTGGAACTAATTGTAGCTTTATTTCTTGGGCAAAATGCAGCTGTGGGGTTGGGCATCTAAATCAGGATCATAGCAGGGTGAAAGAGCCAAATAATTCCCCCCTGTCCCACGCTGTGATCCTGATCAAGATGATCCCTTGCTGGTATTTAGTAAACAAAACCAAGGCTGTAAGGGGTTAATCATATGCTTACTATTATTTCTATTGGGCGAGAGAGAGACAGAGAGAATTTAAATTATAGTCTTTCGTTCTGATAATGA